AAAAAAAAAAAAAAAAAAACCCAAGGAGGCGCACGTTTGCGAAAAAAATAGAAAGGATTTCACCCTTTGAAAATATCGCGATCCGCTTCCGTGGCGTCGACTGGACAGATGATGAAGAAGGTATTTTCTACCGATTGTTTTTCAAGAAGTGTCGTAAGAAGGCAACATACACCAAGGCCCTGTGTTTCAACTCCTTGTGGGCAAAAATTTTAACTTTACTATAAAAACCGTTGAGTTATGCATTGAAGGAGTATACTATTGCCCAAGTCCGGTGAAAGATTCAGCGGCTCAGAAATTATTTCGATTAATTTTCTGATTTATTTGTATTAGAAATGCTCCCCTACCCACGGTGGGCACATGTTAATATGCCCACCGCGTAGGTGGCATCCACTCATTGGTGATGTTAATATGTTTAAAAAAATACATCACCAATGAGTGCATGCCACCTACGCGGTGGACATATTAACATGTGCCCACGGTGGGTAGGTGAGCATTTCTCTTATTTGTATATAAAGTTACAAACAAGTACTTAAGGGGATACATGGATACAAATGTTTTTAAAAAAAATCAACCATTTTTAGTCAATCACTTATTTTAACTCAAATCTAACTCAACTTCAAATCTAACTCACTAGTCACTATCTTCAATATTATTAATATAATTAAATAATATTAATGAATCATTCTTATACTCGCATAAATTTAACTAACAATCATTCCACATCATATATTTCCTACTTTTATCCCCCCATCCCAATCTGGGATATTTATATAAAAAAAAAATTATATTTCCTACTTTTATATCAAATCAACTGTAATTGTTTTATTTTAAATATTATTTTATTACAAACTCAAAATACAACTAACAACTAACTATATCACATTTTTTTAAAATTAATTAAACTAAACCAAAAAGTCTAAACAAAATGGAAAAAAAAAATATTATATAAGAAAATCTAGTGAAGAGATTCAAGCCATACAAATACAATTATGTGCACCATCTGATCATAAACTAATAAACTGATGAAGCAATCATAACTTGAGCTTTACAAAAGCCATTAATCTTATGCTGGGATAAAAAATTATCTAAAAAAAATTCAATCATTTTTAACTCAACATGTTTTTTAACTCAACTTTATCTTAACCCCATTATCATCAATAATCTACTATAATTAAATAATATCAATTAATCATTCTTACACACATCATCTTTAATTTACTATTCATCCACTCTCATAATTTTAACTAACCATCACTTTAATATTTCTCACTTTTTACATCAAATCAATTTTAATTATTTTTTTAATATTATTTTAATATACCCACTAACAACTAACCATAACACCTTTTTAAAAATTAACCAAACCAAAAAATTCGAACAAAACCAAAAATTTTATATCCAAGCAATAAACTCACCCAGCCGGCCAAAAAAAAAAGGGACGAGAAAATGCTTGCATTAGCTCTATCGAACAAGAACATAACCACATCAACTCTGTATCGACCAAAAGTTAAACGACTCCATCTTTCCCTATTCAAACCCATTGGTCCACATCATTCCACAATCAAAATCCTCAAAATCAAGTTTTATGGGGCTCATATATTAAATTTTGAAGGTACTGTGTCAAAATCTTCGAAATCAAGTCTCTGGCGCTCCCTTCCAATCTGAACAAAACAAAGCAGCCAAAAAAAAAAGATCAAAGGAAAAACATTAGTGGCAGAAGAATGATAGAGCAATATGCTGCGACTGCTTACATGAGCACAGTTTAAGAAAAATTGAAAGTAATCAAAATTTTAATTTACCTTCCCCAGGTAAGAAGGGTCGCATGACATAACTTCATTCATAGAAGTTAGCTTCTTCGAGAGCATCATAATTCTGAAACAGAGATTAACAATACATGTCAGTGCTTCACGACACATTCAATACCGTAATCTTGCAGGTGCACTCTCTGAACCTTTTAAGCAACATAATCTGTGAAGCGACAAGTGTAAAATAATTACTCAATTATAATAAGGGGACAACACAAACTCCCGTCTATTCAAACTAAATATCTTTTGGAGGATTCCAATATTCTACAATGTAGTTCATCTACGGATTCCTAGGTAAGAAGTAAACCTAATTTGCCCTTCACTAACTACATTCTATTGGTTGGTCTTGCAATTGTAGCATGAGTCATGTTCTTGATAGAACGATTGATGGGTGTTTTTGTCAATGATATTTCATAAGTGTGAACATCTAAAAGACATTTCAAATAGGAGGGCCTTAGCATGATTGATTTCTTCTAAAAGATGTACATGGAAGTGTACAGTGCTTTGTTCAAAAGATCTCTGTCAAGTCAGAAGAGGAGTATTGGCTATTGACGACAGACTTTCTTGTTACATACAGATCCAAAATTTAACTAATATTGCACACACCTTTGGATAGAGGAGTCAATGCGTTCAATCATTCCACAGGTTTTGTACTGTTCAGGATCCTCGAGAAATCTAACCATCCCATCCTTCTGGTTAATCGCCGCATAAATCTCACCCTCTTGAATCTATTAAAAAAAAGAATGAAAAAAGAAAAGAAAACATCATCACATAAGACAAAGAATTTGGTCATTTCATAATAATGGGATCAATCACATAAATGCTTAACCAACCATCTGAAGAACATGCATCTCAGCCTCCTTGGGGCTTCTCAGTTGAACGATATTAGCAATATCTTGAAGGGAGAGAGTTAGGTAAGTCTGAGTCAACCTCTGAATATTGCGTTTATACATAGAAGCCATAACTTGCTTCACCAGTCCAAGATTCTTGTCCTGGAAGTGGAAGGAAAATTATATAGTTATCAGGACACATGAGTAGAAGTCAAATGTGATGTTTTTCTTTTTTAACGAATAAAAAAAACTCACACTCGCAAACTTGTCCTTGTTTGCCTGCACGAACATCTCAAGCTCTGAAACCTTTCCAGTGCTATAAACATTCACCAGCTCAAGGTAGGGCTGTGCATGATACAATGAATTGCAAAACATATGATAAATAAGCACAAAATATGATTAGGAACGACCAAAAGAACTGTACAGTTACAAAGTGCTCATTTACAACATATGTGTTACTTTTGCTACATTAACTGAAAATCAATTTCTCATTTTCTGTCAACCTCATCTTTCTAGAAAATGCTTGATTCAAAATATAAAATACATATTCTGCTGTCCAGAATGTTCTCCAAGCATTGAACTGGACTACTAACAATAGCACCTACTTACCTAGAATAGGTACAAATGAAAATGGTCATTTCATTACCAGTAATAAAGGAAAATTGGTTGCTAGAAATTTACCTGACAAAAGTTTTTAAGATTCCTTTGAGCAGCCGAAGAAGTATACTTGGGAAAACTGGTAGAGAACTGCCATCACGGATGAGATTTCCGTTAACTTTACAGAACAAAATAGTGACCCACAGAATTTAAATGCGAGAACATTCTGTCATATCAACGTTGTGGTTTGGCTCAGAAATAACTTTAGCATAGTCCAGGTTTCAACAACAAAATCCTTTTCTACAGCACAATATAAATGATATTTAACATAGAAACAACACATAAAGAGGACAACCATGCTATCACATTGATATACTTCCACGTACCCGTCCAAGATGAATAAGAGAAACCAGAATGTACTTCTTGTATGCTTCAACTGCTATAGCACTGATAATGGACATGGGGGCTGTCACAACCTAAAAAAATCATTGCAATAAGAAATATTCGATATACAAAATCTAACATGCAAGCCACAGCATCATTACGTACAATAATATCTATAATGACAAATTATGTGATATAAAAAAAGTTGATTAATTTTGCGTACATTGTGTAGGAGCTCCAAAGCGTTGCTGAACTTCTTTTGTCCGATGCAAATCATGCCCCTACAGTTAAAGCAAATACCAATTATGTATTAGGGTACCTTCTTCGCAGAATGATCAAAAAGCTTCACATACCAACACAATGTTCCCCTTTTCAATTAACAGAAAGGATGCTTTGGTGTGCCACTTCACCATTAGAAAATTATATGATAAAATTGAAACATATAGAGCTTCCACGAGGTATATGCAGTATCTTTAGATGCAAGAACAATGGCACTTGATGCCAAAATGATCAGTTGAACAATTGAACAATGATCACCAGTCAATCAAGATTGATAATTCAACTTAAAGTTACATGCATCGCAATCGATGTCTGGAAGGATGAAGCTTGAATTTTGAGTCGAAATTAGTAACATGTGATATGGTATATCATACCAACCACTAGAGCTCATATAACATGATAGCAGCTCGGACGGTTTGACAGGACTTTAGCTCAGTTACAGGTTGGAATAATGTCAGGTCATTGAGAGGTCATTGAGATGAGGACAAAAACAAGTCGAGCTAGGACTCTAGGACAGTATCAAGGCAACTCGACCTGGAATCGAAGAGGTCGGTGGACGACCTCAAAGGCAGACCTCAAACAGGCAGAATCATAGTTTTAAATGGCGAATGGTGAGGCGAGGCGATTCGCCCATAGCCTCGCCACGAGGCGAGGCGATTTGCCATGGCGAGGCCTCGCGAACTCATGCCATCAAAGCTTAAAAAAAATATATATAGATAGTAATATCATATATTTTATGTCCATTGCATATGGAGCTGGAAGAGTCATTGTTGACAATTCTCCTGGCATAGTGCTAATAATGGACTAGATCAAAATGACTTAATTAAATTCTAGTGCTTCTTCTATTAGTGAAGTTTCTAGAAAAAAATATATCAAACGACGCAACGCACCTTGGGTCGCTATGGAAACAGCCTCCTTGTATAATTACAAGGGTAAGGTCTGCGTACAACTGACCCCCCAGACCCCAACCTGTTGGGAATATACTGGGTATGTTGATGTTGATGATGAGTAATATCATATATTTAAGTCTAAGTGCCAAAATAATCTTAAATATCCTAAAAAAAATTACATAAATTATATTTAATTGTAATTACTAAAAGCATCTAATCTTAATTGTGAATACTAGTAATAAGGTAAATAAAAAGTGTAAAGTAAAAGAAAATGAAAGAAAACTGTCACCTTTGACTATTGACTACTTAATTGTGAATACTTAATTGTGGGTTTCTGCAATTTTCAAATCTGAGAAGCCTAAGGAGTTCTTTCGCAGAAACCCTAGTTCTAGTTTGAGGAGAAGCCATTTAGGGATTTTTCACTGAAGTTCTTTTGCTTCGTGGATCTAGGAGATGAAGTGAAGAAAGAGCTCGATCTGTATTAGTTTATTCTCTTTCCAAAAAGTGGCACACGCTTTTCTTTTTTTTTTTAAATGGACAACACCTTTAATTTCTGTGAAAGGAGCTGAGGCGCGCCTCACAGGCGCCTCTCGCCACGCGAAAAGGCGAGCCGAGTCGACCTAAAGCGAGGGCCTCGCGAACAGGGTCGCCTCAGGCAGTGGCGAGGCGATATGGTCCTCGCCTCGGTCGCCTCGCCTCGAGGCGTCGCCATGGCGTCGCCATTTTAAACTATGGGCAGAATACCCAAAACAGATGGGACCGAGCTGTATCTCGGATATGTCAAGAACGGCTACCTAAGAGGGTAGAACAGTGTGAACACATCATATACAGAGTGGTGTGAACACAATTTGAAATAATAATGCTAGGGCAACACGAATACTTGGGCAGCAAGATCGGACAAATCTTGGGCAATATAAATACTTGGGTAGATCGGGAAGATCTTGAGTAATGACCCTCTATAAGGGGGTGAGGTATTACCATCTCTCTTACTCTCTCTCTCTCTCTCTCTCTCTCTCTCTCTCTCTCCCTGAACATTCTAAGCTATTATACATACATACATCACTCACAAATACTAACTTGGTCGTCGGAGGTTCTATGCCGGGACAACCCCTGGCGCTGTTTTACAGTCATTCTAGCGATTCAAGGACGGTTCAAGAGGCGTTGAACCGGATCGAGGTTGTTTACACGCCAATATGAAAAAATCCGCCTGATGTATAAGTTTGAACATTTCATCTCACTTCCCAAAAGTGAGTGAGTAAGGCTCAAAATCTCCATAAAATAAAAAGGAATAAATATAAGTAAGCATATAATAGGGAGTCACACATAATAACTGGGGAAACTTACCCATAATAACAATACAGGAAAAGGTCACGAGGCTGGTCAACCTCAAATATTTCTTCCTTCAAAATGGAAAGGCCTGTTTTATAGCACTTGGACAATAAACAAAGAAGAAGAAAATCAGAATGCAAAGTGGTTAATTGTTCCGTGGATGACCGCAGCTTGCGTATGGCTGTCAACAGTGGAGCCACACCACGTATGGGGTCTGCCAGCAACATGACTTGATCCTTTAACCGCTTACAAAGACATATAACTGCAAGTCAAGAGACAACTAAGATTTAGGAATTGTACAACCAGAGAAAAATATAAGACTTGCATATAAAGGACTGCTTACATTTTTCTGGTGCTAAACGAATTTGCTCGGCAGCACAGACATTAATAAACCTAGCTATAGAGTGAACAGTCTCGTCGATTTGATCTTTTGAAACTGGCACAGATGTCAATGCCTCCCTGTCGTAAACGACAAATAAATTTCAAATGACCAAGAGGAGTAGGTCAAGGCTCCAGCCTGAATAACAAAAGCCATATACATCATTTTCCTGGTAGGCTGGTACCAGCTACAAATATAACAAATAAACTAGCTCCTTGTGAACACTTACTCAACAAACAATGCAAGCACGAAACAACCTCAAATACACAGGCCACAATATTAATTAAAAATGAAGACAAGAAACAAAAAAGAGCTATCAGTATCCCCGCGATCACACAGGCGCCACAAGAAATGAAGGCCAATTCCAACTGCAGTAAACCCTAGCTTCTACTAATTCAATCCGCTTCTTAACAAATTCAAAAGCCGAAAAGAATATTAGCGTAAGAAAGAAGAATATTTACAAAACGTAGAGGCAGCCAAGGGAATGTATGGAGGGATCAAGTTCATTGAGCAGAGCGGCGAGCTGAGTCGGGTCGGAGTGGAGCGTGTTATCGATCTGTTTCAAGTAGTTGTGGAGCTGAGTTAAGTCGCCGCCGGAAAGCCCTTGGATTTGAGCCGCCACCGATTCAACGGAGCTCCTATTCAGATTCATGGCCAAGTAAAAAGTATTTCGCTTCCAGAACAGAAGGCGCTTTTTAAGCTGATTATTGAATACGTAAATAAAAATTGGGAAGAAGGGAGATAGATTATTCAGAGTAGATATATACACAGCATGTTTGTTTTCTATGACCAGTAAATGCACGGAAAAATTATTATCTATATGCTTTTTAGAAGGCAAAGTCGTATATAAATTGTGTAATACTGCAATGATAATGACTATAAGAATAGACATATAAACACATAATTAAACTCATAAGATCATATATTATTGAACAATTCTTTATATACAACATTATTGGTTTGATTTTTTGACACTTCCTTATAGGACGTGGTTGTGATATCATGAGAAAGGTAGACGGATCTGATTTGATATTTTGATTTTCGGTTGAAGTCCAAAATTTTGTAGTCGAAAAAGTCGATAATTGGAAGTAAGGTCGGTTTTATATATCGATTTTATTGTTTTTATGGACGAATCTAGTCTAATATTTCGATTATAGGTCGAGATCTTTTAAATATGAAGTTGAAAATTATGAAGACCAGAAAGGAAGTCATTCATTTTTTAAAATGGTCTTAAATATGAAATTGATCTTTTGTTTTTTAGCTTTTTCAATTTTTTTAACATATGGTAATGAAATGTGGTCTTGAACATTAACTCCCAAGAAATCTCCAAGGTAAGAGTTACTATAATATTGTCGTAGTTCATATTCGGACATATTGATTTTCTTATTGTTATCTGTTTAAACAATATCATTCTTGTCCTAAGTGATGAGCTATTTTATGTTTGAGCATGCTATAAATTGTATGTTATAAAATAATCAATGAATTGGTAGACACAACACGATTAGATTATGAAAATATCTCATTTCATCATTTGAGTTATGATTATATCATCGGAAGGTGAGCTAATTTTTTTTTTTTTCTACAAGAAAACTAACCTAATTAAAAAAGTAAAATTTTGATATTGTTGTTTATTTTTCTTATAAAACATTACAATGATTGTTCTAGAAGTTCAGTTAAAAGGTTTATTTGTTGACTGTTGTAAATGTCAAACCTCTTGAAACGTGTGTAATTACCAAATAGCATTGATTCATCGATCTTCTTGATATCATACAGTGTGATGTATTTTCTAAAATCGAAACAGAAAATTGGAAAGTCGCCCTTGTACCTTATGTGTTTAGTTCTACCGTGAATAAAATTAACTTGTATTGTGCAATGGTTGACCTATGCATGCCAATATTACTTTGAACCTGATAGTTCCGAATTGCATGTACATCACATTCTAAACAAACTTGGGATGTTTATTGCGCTTATTAGTCCGAAAATTCAAACCTTGTAAAAATAAAAAATAAAGATCATATTAAAAATTAAAAGCATGAACAAATGATAATGCAAATTGATTAGTAAGTTTGATTGTGAATCATACCTCAGTGTTATGAAAGACAATTTCAACGATGTTCTTGTAGGTTAAGTATTCGTTACGCCGTTCAAAAATTCAAATCACTATTAGTTAATCACATGCCTATTGGTCCTTGTTATTCGCTTGATGTTGCCCCATGCTTTTGTCATTTCTCTGTTGGTATATTAAATTGCTGAGTGTATGAAATGAGTTTTGGTAGGTGATGTCCTACATTTGCAATTTATAGGAATGGGGTAATTGGTTTTATATTAATTAAATCATTTAAAATATGAGTTTAATAAACATCAAATTTTTGATTTGATGATAAGATAAGATTAAAGGTTTTGGATAATAAATTATTTGGTTTTTTTTTTTTTTGGGATTATTTGAGTATTACATGTACACGTGTGTCCTACTTAAAAGAATTTATGTTATGTAATGTTTATATGTATATGCATAAGAATACCATAATTATGAGATTTAATTATTAGAAAATATATTTTATTGTATATATTTAAGTGATGAGACGGTAAATTCAAATTAAAATTCAAAATTTGAAATTGTGTCAGGATAAGTCTATCTATTGAATTTTAAATTATTTTGGGTTGTTTGTTAAGAATTTTTATTTGTGTGGAAACTTCATGCTAAGATTGTTTATGTTAAGATTTTTTTTTTTTTTTTTTCCGTGTAGAAATATGATTAAAAATGATTGAGGGAATGTTCATGTATTCCTCTTTAAATGTATTTCTGTTAGTATTATAGAGTGATATTTAAATAATAATATTATATTATAATATTATTCCATATTAAGTATTTAGGTCTCTTATATTTATTATGTTGTTTAAACGTGTTGTTTAAATTATGATGAGATGTGTAATGTACACGTGTTGTTTAAATTATGATAAGATAAGTGTGCATGAATTAAATGTTAAATAATTTTGCTTATTTGTTTAGAAGTTTGTGTAGGAATTTCACGATAAGAATGGTGTTGAATGCTCATAGATGCATTTCTAACGTGTCCTAAAATATGCATTTTTCTGTTACAATTTATATCCATATATGCACTTTAGATGACAAAATTTTCATTTTAATTATTATTTTTTTTTTGTAAAATTCATTTTTTTTTTGAATTGTAACATTATTATTGTAATGTTATCATAATGTAAATTTTTTGGAATGAAATTTAAGTTCTATAGTATGAGGTTTTTATGTTTGTATGGGTCGGATTAATATATGTTTTTGTATAGTATTATTTAATTTTTTATTCAATGTAAAGTTATACAGGAAACCAAATCGAATGGTATTGTATCTTTAGTGCACATTTTAATTTATTTTTCATGTCAAAGATGTTGTATCATTACATTACATTTGAACGGAAATCAAGTGTTTTGACTAATGTAGACTCTTAATTGGATGTCATTAAACAATAAATTAATTCATGAAACTTATTAGTTATTTGTTAAAAAGAAAGTGTTTTTTGTCGATGGAAATAAGTGCCCGTACTAATTGGTAAAACATATTTCAAAAGTTTGAAACCATGTATTTCGGTTTTTTTTTTTTTTTTATGTCTGTTCCCCATTGTTTTAAAACGTCTACATATAGTAAGGCGTCGTTTACTAGCGGAGATAGGATTGGATTAGGTTGGTTAACTAACCTAATCATTCATTTACTAGGCAGGTTAGTGATAGGAAAAAATGATGTGTCAATTAGCTGGCAGGTGGGCCCAATGACATTTAAATGACGTGTGAGGTTAATTCAATCCGTTCAGTTTGGCCGGATTTTTTAATCCGCTCTTTCATATTCCAACTTTGTCCAAAAAAATAGGCAGCAAAATATCCATTATACCCCTCAATGTCACCAAATTTACAGATCTAGTATTTATAAAACCAAAAAATCTTACGATTATTGGATCTATCTGCTCGAACTCGATACTAACATAACCCTAGCAACTCCTCCGTAAATGCCCTATTTTCTGCTTCTACTTCGAATTTTAGTTGATTTTTTTGACTTTCTTTTAATTGCTCCTCTTGCGAACTTGCATGTATCGTTGCAATTGCTTGTTCTTGGTCGACGGATCGCGACAACAAATACTCCAATCCAAATTCGAGTCATGAATCTGCTAATTTCTGCTTCAATTATTTTTTTCTTCCATTGATTTTTTGTGCCAATGTCGGACGCCGGTATGTTTATATACGAGTTCTAATTCAGTTAATTTAAATTTTTTTGTTAAACATTGCTATATATATGTCACAGTTCAATCTGCTCATTTGTGGTTCATTTTTTTCTTTTTCTTCCATAATTTTTTCCCATTCAAACGCCTATATGTTTGCAGACGATTTGTGATTCATTTAATTTAAATTTATTTGTTAAACATTGGTATATACATGTCACAGTTCAATCTGCTAGGGCTTCTTTTATGTTGGTTAGTTGGTGAAATAGTTAGGGTTCGTTTTTTGAACTGTATATTAGGGCTTCATTTTTTATAAGTGTATATTAGGGCATTGATAGGTAACTGTGTATTTGGTTGAATGTAGATGCTTAGAGTTTAGCACCTTCCTCAGTTAGGAAACCTGAAATACTAGGTACATTTTGTTGCCACAGTGCCAATCTTGTAACTTATATTATACGGTACATAATACTTGCCTCATAGTTTGAAATGTGTCTGATGCTCAATTATTATTGCTTGTATTATTGTACATTGAGGTACAATTGCTCTGTGTCTGTCTCTGTTTTCTGTTTCTGTTTCTGTGGCTGATAGTTTATAATTGTTCGTGTTTTGTATAATTGTTTATGTTCTGTATAATTCTTGCTTTTTCTGAATTTTTTATAGTGAAGTGGAAATTAATATATTGTTGCAGCATGTGAAAGAAACAAAGATCTTTTTTTTTTTTCAAATTTTTGTCAGTTTCTGGTTAATTGAGTGATTCTAGTTAGTTGAGTCATTCTGATAATTTGATGATTATTCACTTTTTTTTAGATTTAGCATTTGCTTGTTAGTTGTAATATGTATCTGTTTTGGCAAATATGTTATGTATACCTGTTTCTGAGGATGAAAAGATTATTTCTTGTTGTTAGCTTTTTAGAGTATTTTGTTGTAGTCGAGTGGAAAGTATAAATTTGTTTCATGTTGTGAAGAAAAAGGGATTTGTTTTCTTTTTTGGTATCCTACAAGTAATTAGTTTTGATAGTGTTGTAAAATCTTAATTCATTCATTGCTTTTACATGACTTTCCACTTGATTTTTCCCTAACCTATAAGAATTCTGTCTATGATTTGTTTGGTGTGGCATCATCATGTACTTGTAATCAATAGTACCATATCTAATTAGATGGTTTGAGAAGTTTTATTCATTGTCTTAACATGAAATCCATGTTCACCTTTTGTATAATGAGGTTTGTTGATCCAAATTTGTAGATGGAT